GGATGTCAACGGGACCAAACGGGAGCGGGAATAGCTGCCCCCGCTCCCGCCCCCGAAATCAATTGTTGCCCCCGCTCCCGGTCCCGCCCCCGGCACCCCCGTTTACATAGCCCACGGTCCCGCTCCCGGTTACCTCCATCACCCCCGGTCCCGCCCCCGTTCCCCCGGTTCCCCCGCTTAAAATTCGTTTTTTTTGCTAAACGACTACTTTGTGTTAGGCTAAAAAGCTTGTTTTTAATAACTTTAAAAGTTTAAAACGTAATCTTTTAGAAACTAAACAATTAAAAATTCAACATTACGAATTCAATATTACAAAACGACAATTCCATCAATCTTAAAAATATAAAATATGACAAATCCAATATTACAAATATAAAATACTTACATATCAAAAAATATATGATTAATTCACTACCTCTTCAATATCTATTAATTGAAAACGGGAAAGTGAAACCTAACCTACACTTAAAATTAGAAAATCTATTTTGTATATGTATTTTATATTAAATATATATTTTTTACATAAATATACAACCGGGACCCCGCGGGAGTACGGGACGGGAATACCAACTCCCGCTCCCGGTCCCGAAAATAAGCGGGGTTTAATTTTGCCCCCGCTCCCGCTCCTGCTCCCGGTTTTTTTAAAAATTTAGTCCCATACGGGATCGGGATCCCACGGGAGCGGGGTTCCACGGGGGGTTTTTGACATCCCTACTCGGCCTTCCTTAGTTCGGGTACGGATCCTCTGCTTTTAGTACTATGGGCCCATACTACCTTCCACATCTATCCGTACCTTCTTCAAGGGCTGCCTCGACTCCACCAGTTCCCTTTCACTGCTATACTCATCCTAGGCTTGCCATAGAGAAATCTTTGACTCCGTCCTACCCGGTCCTCAGCTGCTGAAGGCCTCCTTGTAATGCCAATTGGCCATTACATGAATACTATCACATGTGATGAGGCTCAGATAATCCTTTGAGTAACAGACTCGCTCCTACAACGGTTAGACTCAAACAAGAGTTGCGCAATAGGGTCAAATCCAACACTCTAAGATTATTCAACCTTGTTCACATGTGACGTGACGTATTCACCTAATGGCTAACTCCCATTACTTAGAGTCCCACAAAGCACAAAGCAAGTAGTATTTAGAAATAAGGGAACAATCTCAGTCAAATCCGTTCTCATAGGGAGAAACGCATTAGCATACAATGCTAAACTCGTACTATCAGGCATAACCTAAACAAGCTATCCTACTGCTGTCTACTCAATACTAGCATGCAATTCATATAAGCAGTAACACATAAAGCAGGAACATAAGGCATCACTCCTAGATCCTTAGTCCTATTATAGCATGCTGTTGTACTGAAACTGATAAACATAACATAAACTTGTATGGGTACTTTGGGGAATACTTACTTAAGCTCGGCCGGTCGCGCACATCACACACTTCGTGCTTTCTTAAAACTCTTTACTTAACTTTGGGAAAACATTTTCTTCTTCAAAATCTCTTAATCCCTCAATTTGAGTTTAGACACCCCCGAAGGTGTGTCCGAATCCCTCAAACCAGGGCTCTGATACCAACTTGTAACATCCCAAAATACGGGCCCAAAATTTCATTTTTAATTAGGTGATTTGCAAAACGTTTCTAACAAAATATCATTCGACCATATCATTTAATAAAACATGCCTTGTGTTTGTAAACCAAAACGTAAATCATAATAATATCAGAGTACAAATCTCAGAATGTCTCATAGTGCGGAAAAACAAGAGCGTGTGTGTGATATGCCGCTACCGCGCCAGCTCCTTCCCCTTGGCTGAAGAGGTACCTGAAACAACAACTAAAAACCGTAAGCATGAAGCTTAGTGAGTTCCCCCACCGTACCGCATACCAAATAACAACATAACATACATATACTGCCAGACATATCTGGGTTCCCGACCTACCCCTTCGGTCCTCTCGACCGGATACTGACTAGCATATCTGGGTGCTGGTCTCCCCTTCGGTCCTCTCGACCGGATACTAACTAGCATATCTGGGTGCTGGTCTCCCCTTCGGTCCTCTCGACCGGATAAAAACTAGCATATCTGGGTGCTGGTCTCCCCTTCGGTCCTCTCGACCGGATGTTGGGGACTATTTCACCCCTACCACTACCACATAGCACGTATCACATAATCTAATTAGCATGGCTGGGCATGACTGCCCCTTCGGCGCTATCGACCGGTAACTTGGGGATTATCTCCCCTACTATCACTAGCACAAAGCATCATATCATACAAACACATAAACATAACACAGGTAGTAGCAACCCTAGATGAATATCACATAGACAATCATCTAATCATACAATTCCTACTAGGGGCTGACATTGTGGCCTTAGACCCCTTTCTACTAGAAGGTAACTCACCTCGGAGTAGTTGCTGAAAGTCTGCTTGTTGAGCGCCTAACTGCTGAACCGGTAATCCTCCGGCTATAAATCATGAACATAGATTAGACACCCATAAATACCCTTAGGTCAAAAGACTGACCCTCCCTTGGTCCAAGGTCAACTCCTTGGTCAAAGTCAACGTCCATTTGACTGGACTCGCCGAGTCACAGCATAGACTTGCCGATTCCTTCTCCTATTAACCCGGTCCTACTCGACCAGTTCTTCTTCCCACTCACTGAGTCACCATTAACTCATTACTTGGGACGATTGAACTGACTCGCGACTCGACTCGCCGAGTCCAGGAACAACTCGCCGAGTTTGAAGAACAGCTCGCTGAGCTCCAAGAAATCTTCATAGGACTCGCCGAGTTGTTCATCCAACTCGCCGAGTCTAAGGCCATCATCATAGAACTCGCCGAGTCCCTTGACCCATTTCCCATATAGACCAAATCTGCGACATGCAACGCTTCAAAACCATAGATCTATGATCCTACGGCATGCTTATCACGTAAAGTTGCAAACTTTACGTGCATGCATGGCCCTACAAGCTCCAAAAGGCAAATCCAAGCTTTTTATGAGTTCATACACTCAATGGGGACCTCAATCACTCCAACCACAAAAACTTTATACTTCTAATACATCCATATTGTCTAGATCTAAAGTCCTTTCGGACCATTAAGCTCAAACACAAGGAGTATGGTGTTTTAGGGCTTGAAAACCAGCATTTTAGGGACAAAAGGGGATCTAAAGAACTAGTGATCAAGGTAGGGGATTTTCTACCTGAATGGAAGCATCTTGCAGTGTAGATTCCGGATCTACCTCTCCTCCTTGCAAACCACAACCTCTTTCTTCTTCTTCTTCTTCTAAGCTCCAAATCTTCCTCGCAAAGCCAAAATCACTCTCAAGAACAAAATGGGGGATAGGGTTTCGCTCTTCAGCTCTCTGGAAGTGTTAAGGACAAAGGAGGCCAAGTTAGAGCATTTAAATAGGGTGCAAACACCCGGATTAGGGTTTTTGCCCAAACAGGGTCTACTCGCCGAGTCCGAGAACCGACTCGCCGAGTTCAGAGTTCAGTCCCCGCATCTTATCCCACTCCTACTCGGCGAGTAGGTCCATCAACTCATCGAGTCCAAGAAAAAAATGCATTAATTTAAAAATGCTAATTACAAGGAGTACGTACCGAGAATCAGGTGCTACAAACCAGAGTTTTCAAACAGAACATTCTATACATTACTGGTGGTAGTTAAAGTTTTCATACAAAGGGTTTTCATTCAAAAAAAATATTATACAACACAGCTGGTAGTAACCAGGCATATGAACTAATACTTCATGGAACACTATAACAAACATATATGTTAGAAAATATTGGATTTTCTTGAGAAGCATAGAAACATTCTTTTACAGATTCAATGACAGGTTTACATTACAAAAATATGTTTATGAACTCACTAGCTTAATGATGATACTCTTTCAAAATCGCTTGTATTCTCTAGAAATTAGTAGACAGGTACTCCCACAGGCTTTTGAGAAGACGGAGCGTATAGAGTCATGTCTTTTATAGTTTTTTCTATACTTTTGATGTATACAATCTATGTATCAAACCGATGTAAATATCTGTATTTTCAATGTAATGGTTGTGTTTACTTTGATTACTATGATGCAATTGGTGTGATACTGTACATGATGTCCTCCACCCCTAAATGTTTCCGCCTTTTCGATTTGGGGTGTGATAGATTGGTATCAAAGTTATTGTTTATAGTGGACTAAGTATACCGAACCTTACATGGTATACAACTATAAACGCTAAGGGGCCGAAGTGCATTGGACTCCCATGGCCATAAAGTTGGCACCTTTATGCATGGAGTCCCTTAAAGGCTCTAGATCTGAATTCATGAATCCAAAACATGATTGCATCAATGAATGGTTCCAAAATAGGCTACTAAAAGCCCTAAACTCCTCTATGAAGAGATCTAACAAATGAGTAGTCAAGGTATAGACTTTATACCTTAATATGGATGCCTTAACAGAGAAACATTGGATCCAAAGCTTCTTCCTTTAAACAAGCACCTCCAACTTCAACTCCTTCAAGAGATTACCAATGAATAACTATCTTTTCACTCCTACACACTCAAGAGGGCTAAAACTCACGAATTAGGGTTTGTTGGACTGAGAGGGGGGGGGATGAGGGAGGCCACAATGAGGCATTAATTTCCTTATATAGGGTACAAAACCCTGAAATTAGGGTTTCATTTCTGCCAGCCTACTCGTCGACTTGGGGCTCCCCAACTTGTCGAGTAGACTTCAAGTCCCGTGTCCAAGATCCGTTTCTACTCAACGAGTTTGGGGCCTCCAACTCGTCGAGTCCCTTTGCAAAAATGAATGAATTGATTTAAAAATACATTCCAGGAACCGGACGTTACAAATAATGCATACCCATATTTAATAATTTCATTTAACACTTGAACAATTAAAATGAATGCCAATAAAACACATGAAACAAAAATGTTACTGTAATATCATGATTTAGAAAACCTATATAAAAATTAAACTACTTCGACACGTTTTTTAGAGGACAATTTCATTTGTTATGCGAAGCCATCTGTTTACATGAAGCACACTTTTGCTTAGGCTTCAAACTTTCTTTTTCCAACATTTCTTTTTTAGATTTTAATCTTTTACCACGACCGTCAGTTCCCTTATTAAGAATATCAAATGGATTCTCAATGTCAGACACATCATTAGTTGACTCCACACCTATAATCTGGTTGTAGAATGATTCTCTTAAGGGCATCTCAAGCGCTGGACAATCATCTACAATTTTTTTTCAACTTATTCAGCTCTTCAAGGTATGACTTTAACTTAGCAGAATCATGGCTCAAAAATGAAACGCAACGGTCTACATTTGAAAATTTTTAAATAGTCGTCATGTCAGAATTTGAATCAATAAAAGAATTAGAGAAACGCCTCTTAAGTAATTCTGTTGGAATAACATCCCGATGCCAACGTCTCATAATGTATTCTTCAGGAATCTATTCACTACTGTAAAACTTAAAAACACAGAATATGTGCCTATACAAAAGACCGACATGTTCAAAATGCATGCAGGTACACTTGAAAGAACCATCTATTGTTGAGTGGGTAACCTGGAATATGTATGATAATAGATGACTATATGTTATAAAGTCTTATTATGTGATTAAAAAGAAATGATTATATAATGAAGTAAGAACATACCGTGTATTGGGTATCATTTGTAAGACAATTGTAATGGTATTCCTCAAGTTTGTCATCAACAACGGAACTTGTTGGTTGCATTGTGCTTATGTTCTTTTGCTTGTCCAAAACAATAATTTTTTCATCACCATTTCAAGAAGTAACTCTCATTTGGAAACAAGTATTTTTAGAATTTGAAATCTCTTTCTGAACCCGATAAAATATTTTATGAGTGTAGACCTTTGAAGCATGTGGTTCGTTTGGACTAGATGTGATGAATCTAGGAACAGTTGTGGCAGTGTTGAAGTCATTGACAATTTGATTACGTCTTTGATGTTCCATTACACCCTCAAAAGTCATCAAAAACATTAAATGATAAGAACCGGTAAGGGTGTTGTTTTGAAATGACCAATTTTGGCTTTCGGACAATGATGTAGTTCTCATAAGACTAGATATTGGTATGTCCTTGAAAAATGCAGGTACCCAACGTCTCTGCAACCCATACATCTCTTTCATCCACTTGTTATTTGAAATCTTAAACTCATCTAAACAAGATTGTCATGCTTTATAAAAATCATGCGGTTCCAGCTTAGAATTCCAAATTATAGAGTGAAAACGCTTCCAAAAATCTGAATTTGTGGCTAGTTGTGATTTTATCTGAATAAAAATACATATATGCCATTATAGTAAAAATAAAATGTTGGTATAAATCATATAAGGTAGACAAATATGGTATCATATGTATTCTGTTAGAATTATGGTAATTGATTCTATCATAATTGTATTCTAAAATTCTGTTAGAATGATGTTAATTGATTCTACCGGAATTGTATTATGAAAGAAAGAGATGTATTAAAATAATAATTCTATAAACAATATTTTGGTAGATAAAAAATAATTGTTCACCTTATTTGATAGTTTTTTTTTTTGTAATATGTCACATAGAAAACCTATGTGATGACACTTGAAAAACTTCATTTACAGCTTTGTTCAAAGCTCGATACTGATTTGTGAGAACAAGCTTAGGTTGTTTTTTGAATACTTTTAAGAATGCTCTAAGCAACCAAGAATAAGAACTACAATCTTCTCTACTCAAAAGTGAAACCCCAAAAGTTACACATTTCTTATGGTTATCTATCCCAGTGAATGGTGCGAAAACCATATAGTATCTATTTTAAAAATTTTAAATTAATTTACATTATTGGAAGTAATATAAAAATTGTGATAACATTATAAATGTAAAATATACTTATTCATGTTGAATGTGGCATCAAGGGATACGTCTCCCAAAGCATTGTAGTTATATTTTGCGGTTTCGTCAGCCCAAAAAAGCGCATTTAATTTTTTCTACACAACTTTAAACTGGAAAGAAAAAGTTGGGATATTTTTTTCCTTTCCAGCATCTTGACAACAAGGAATTTTGCATCCCTGGAACCTATGTAAGCATTAAGATTTCTCGTACTGTTCTTGAAATCGGAAACCAAACCACATCGAACGTAAGACCCACCTTGAAGTCTGGTATACAATCTATGTGCTCTTGAGGCACCAATATTTTGCTTAGACAGGTTGTGAATAAATATCTCCTGAGAATAATTCCTCTTTGTACTAGACAAAAACATGTTGTCCTTACCAAACAATCATGAGTATGTTGTTCAACAAAATCATCAACAATATATTTATTAGTACCACGTAGTAGAATAAAAACAATTTTTGTTTTGCATTCGCACCTAAATGAGTCTTAATTCTTGGAATCTTATTATGTTGAGGCTCTAGAGTATCCACTTTAGCGGTTCTTGGTTCATCTTCCCGATTGCATAGCAAATGTCGTTGTGTGATAATGTCGAATTTCGTTGTTCCAAGACTGACATCAAAACCTACTTCCGATGCATAATTTTTATACATTGATAATGTCGCACCATATGAATCAACTGTTGAGTTGATTTTAGGTTTGACATGGTCTGAAACAACATGAATCCAATAAGGTGAGCTACCAGGAGAAACGTAATCATGTGTAACATGTGATTGTTTTGCATAAAAAACATCAAATTATATACCACATAATACATATAAAGTGAAACAAATGAATGTCGTCGATATGCAAATTGCAACCAATCACAACGAAGTAATATAGTTTTCTAAAATATTTTGTTATTGGTATGCTTACCTTTCTGTAAATCCATATTATCATTGGCTATAGTATCATCTGTCTCATCATCAATGAACTCGTTTTCGTTTTCTGCATATTTTAAATAGAATTAGTGTAATGGAATAATTACATATATAAAAAACAAATAAATAATTAAAATACATCACCTTGGTTATGATTACTTGTTTCACCAAAATGATAGTCGGAATTGACATCAATATGATTTTGAATGTGTTCTAATGGATCCTCCAATTTGTAAGTTAAGATTTCGCCATAATGCAAATAACAATATACGAGTTCAACATTATTGTTAGAAAAATTAACAAGTAAATAAACTTAAAAAGATAAATCACCTCCATTTAGATTACTATTCTCGCCTATTTCAAATTCGATATTATATAGAGAATCATGATCACATAACTCGAAATCTTCATCATCGTCTGCATAATCAATAGGATATTCATGTTGATCATGAATATGATCATCACCAACTGATAGGCCATCATCCAAAAGATAAGTAACAACACGATTTAACACCAAAAGATTGGAGAAAGCAGTTTAAATTAAATCTTATTAACTTTGAGCTAAATAAATATATATTAAAAAAGGGGAAACCGTATGAATGATATGTAACTAAAAATGCATGATATTTAGGAATTTGATTGAGATAATTAACATTTTAATTAATCCAAAAATATTAGTTATATAGTAAGATTACACTAATACCCTTTAGGAATGATTGGCTCATATTAAATCCTACAACCACACAATAATTAATTAGAATACTTGAACCTACCCGTGATATGCAATTATGCATGGCCATCCAACATCGTCATATGCATGGGTAACTATGTCGTAGCCATGTCATCGGGCAATCAAATCAACTTTCATTTCAACAATCTATATTCATATATCAAAAAGTATTATATATATAAGGCTAGGTTCATGTGCTCATAGCATTTGTTCGTAAGCACAAATCTGGACCAACGTATGGAGTATAATCAGTGATCATTGATCTGTGGGTCTATATTACTATAAGATAACATGTACCATATAATCACATAAATTTCAGCTTAAGGGTATTTTAGACAATTAACTATATTTAAAAAAGGAAATTTTGGATTTTTAGGGATAATTAATTCTCCCAATTTTAAAATTTTGATTTTTTTAAATTAATTCAATTTTAATTCTAACGTAATTTATAAAAATAACTGATTTTATTCCGTCAGAATGTTTTTTTGTTAGAATGATGTTTTTTCAAAATTTATTTTATTAATATATTATTGATGAATCACAAATTCTTAAATCCCCTGTTGAAGAATAACAACTTTCTAATTTATTCTTATATATTCGAACTTAAATACAAATACATACATAGTCTTATAGACTAATAGTCTTATATATTTTAATATAATTATACATATTCTAAAATTATCAACAAAAATTAATAAAATTCTTAAAAAATAACAACATTCTTAAACTGTGAGTATGATCAATCTATTATGCATTCTTCAAGCTATTCCTATCATATCTTCAATACATTCTTCCAGTCGTTCCTATCACAAATATAAAAAAAAACTAAGAATGGTTTAAATCATGTTATCGTTTTATATATTCTGACAAAATACATAGAATATGATAGAGTACATAGAATACATTTTAGTAGAAAATATATAATACATTCTAACATAATACATAGAATACATTTTTGCTAGTTATAACTTTAATTGTCACTATAAAGAATTAAAAACATGTTAATTGTAACTTGCAATCGTATTTCTAAGTGATGAAACTTAACAAACCAACAACTTGCAATTTAACAATCTTGAAAATTTTGTATAATAGAAAAAAGTAGTAAAATTTAGCAAACTATTCTTACAACGATGATATTTTATGAGAACGCTCTTGAAAGAATGCTCATAGAATGTATTCCTTGCGTCATGATGCTTTGTTGAAAGGTTTTTAATCAATTCTTACACTGTCATTTACCATGTTTTTGTTTCTTTTCCATATTAAAATGCAAAAACCTGTTAATTCTATGAGAATATAAATACTACATAAAACATGTGCTGCTAGTAATTATGACATAATGCATACCACATGGTTAGATTCTTTTGATTCTCTTTCAGACATTTCAATTGTTAGACATTATCATCAAACAAGCCAAAATGTAACATCCCAAAATGAGGTATAATTATCATTCTTTTATCTTTCTTTAATATGTCAAAATTAGCCCTTATATTGTGAAAGGTGGCAAGTCAGTACGCGGGGTGTACGCATGAGTACGTGTAGCGTACTCATGCACCATGCAGGATCGCAAAGGTCACCTAGTACACTGGGCATACTAGGCTCAAATGCAAAGCCTAATATTCATTTATCCCCTTATTAGCCTTCGCCCCTTATTAAACCCTAATTTCATGTATCTGGGTTGTGAGTGTGATTTTTCAAGTTTTGAGAGATTCTTGGACCTTGTAGTTGAAGAAGAAGATTTGAGAAGAAGAAGAAGAAGAAGGTTTCATCAAGCTTAGAGATCCAAAAACCTTCCACCTTTGTGCATCATTTTCAGGTATAAAGCTTATCCCTTGGCTAGTGTTCTTCTATATCTCTTTAATGTAAGTTTTATGAGCTTAAGTCTCTAAAGTTTGGACCTTTTTGAGTTTGAGACTCTCTAGAGAGTTTGAGTTGTCCTTTTATGCATCTTTGTGCCTCTAGGTTGATAAAAATGTTTGTTTGATCTTTCCTTTGCCCCTATGCATGAATAAAGTACCTTGGAATAAATAAAATGGTGTTTTAGCCTCTCATAGACATGAAAAGGCTTAAAGCCCACAACTTTATGGATTAAGATGTCTTAGATTAGTCAAATCTATGGTAGGAGTGGTTGTCTTATCGGATTAAGACCAAAAAGTAAGGAAAAAAGGAGATCGTGGAACACGTCGTTCGTACTCCCAATTACGTGCAACGTAGCTCAGTGATGCCCCGTCACATGCTTAGCTATGTTGTACGCCCAATGTAAAGAGTAGTATGCCCAACGTACTCGTTGTGTGTTGACTTTATGTTGACTTTTGTTGATTTTGAGTTTTGGTCAAAGTTTAGGGTTTTGGACCTAAGGAGGGGCACAATGGTCCTTTTTGCCCTTAGTACGTTAACAGTGGACTTTGGACTCGTGAGTGGATTGGACCTTAATCTAATTAAGGCTAATTATTTTGTTAACTAGGCAGAGACTCGATCCGGCAGTTCGGGTGCTAGGTTTTCGTGTCATCAGTATCAGGCGAGTCTCCTCACTTACTCATACCTGTATGGTAGGATAGTTGCAATATTATGTCCAACTGGGTCTAGCTGTTATGTTATGTTATGTTATGTGCTGATATGATATTTATCTGTGACTGGGGCTGCTGATAGCCAACTGGAGGTTGCGGATAACCTTGCCAGCGTGTTGTTAGCTCACTGAGATTGTTGATAGTCCCGCGGTTGTGGATAACCCTTATTTGTTTACTTATGTTGTTTTATATGTGGTGTCTTGGGCAACTTACTAAGCTTTGTGCTTACAGTTGTTGATTTGTATATGGCAGGTACTTTGCAGGACTGCAGGTAGGCGAGGGTCTGATTATACACACACACTGGGAATTTACTATTGGGACATGATCTTTTATGTACTCTGATAATTATGACAATTGTGTTTGAGATGAATTGTAATTGATCTAGTTGTGAAATAGTGTTTTTGGAAGTTTTAAAAATGAAAAATTTAGTCTAAAATTTGAGGTGTTACAGTTGGTATCAAAGCCATGGTTTTAGGGATTTGGATGAACCGTGGGTGATTCCAAACTCAAACTGAGGGTCTAATCATTTTTAAGAACTTAACAAGGAAAACTTTTTACAAGGGGAGAAACCCAGAGAAGCAGTGTGTACAATCGATCAGCGCTCGAGCGGCAGTTTCCCGAAGTATCTCATTTTTATTTTAGTATTGCAGAGCAGACATGTTGTATTATGAGAAAATAGGATTGCATGCTAGCTAGGTGTAGACTAAGGGATCTTTCTGAAATAGTATAATTATTGTCTGATTAATGATGCCTTAGCCTAGGAATTCATTCCTTATGGGATCGAATATGACTTAATTATTTATTTGGTGTATGCTTTATAATTGTACATAGTTAGGATTTTATAGCCTTAGGATGCCTGATTTAGCATTTCTTCTTGTTCCTTTATTGGTTGTGGATTTAAGGTAGGATCATTTATACGAATGACTATCGAGTCTCATACTATGTACAATTGGCATACGCGAGGCTAATGGCGAGGGCAGCAGAGATCCTGTGAGGTAGAGCAGTATTGGGAGTGGTCTACAACTAGTATCTAGACGTATGTTTGAGGTTATCGGGAACCAGTAGGACAAGTCCATAGATGATATGAGGAGGTAGAGTTCTTGGGGTCTCGAGGGTATGACCTGAGACGAATACAGATTGGTGTGGAAGGTAGTATTGGGCCTGTAGTACTGAAAGCACCGGATCCATATGCGGCTCGTGAAATAACCTCGAGGGACTAGAGAGCTTGTAGCGGTGTGAGAGTTGATATATGTGTTTAGCTTGTGCTAATGATTTTCTTATGCATTTCAGTATGGTGGTTACCCGAGGTTCAGGCTCCAGCGACCCTAAGAGGCCAAATGCCAGTGATGATGAGATTCACAGGATTGTTGCCGCATAAACAATATACATTCTTTAAAAATAAGTATATATATATTAAATAACTTTAAATTTTATGTATTTACCATGCTCCCAATGGCATAAAAACAATACTCGAAGTGATCTTCAGAATCTGTTTCTATATAGGCCACTGTCCTGGGATTATGATTATTCAAATTGTGAAAATAAATAGGAAATTTGGAAAAACATTCTACGAGGCACCCCACATCAGTTGCATAACATATTGTTTTGCACGCCACACTTGTTTGTAATCTACATTAATTTCAAGCAAAGCATTCATATCCCTTGATAAATCATCAAGCCTCCAAACTTTCAAACGATTTTTACCCATAATCTCATGCAATATAGTACACCAAACTTTTTTTTTATTTGTGTGATTATGATTTGGGTGTATGTGAAACGACGAACATGTGTGCACATCGTTGTACGTCTAAATTTTTTTAGTCGGATCAAGGCGTTTGCATATAAACGCCAACTGCAATTTTCTATTTCACAATAAACCTCGTAACGATTTTTGTTAAAATGTTTGATCTTAAACTGAAAATTTTATGTAGTTTCTTTAATACTCAAAACAAATATTAGATCTTGTTTGGTATCATACGTTTGACAAACAGATATATGATCATTTGGTCTTAAACTGTGCAGTGGTCCAAGTACAAGAATCGGATCCGGACAATCAGGTATGGGAGGCACACCGTAAAACATGCCTCGAGTTTTTTTTTCTTTCTGTGTGTGAACTCATCTTCTAACCATCATTCATATGATTTTTCATCATCTGACAACGTTTTCTCACCTAGTTTTCCAAAATCATCTAAATTTTGTTCTTCCACCTCATTTAGTTCAACAATTTCTTCTCCTGAACCGTGTTCAACATTATCTGATACAATATTGTGACCATTATATGTTACAATGTTGTCAAACAACGCTATCTCTTCAACCCGTCCCTTAAACACCTCCAAGTACAAATGCACTATATCTTTCGTTTCAGACATTACATTTTTGAGTTGAAGAACATCTGCTTCGTCTATATAATTCATGACATATCTATGCTCCGGGTGTGGAAATGACAACGATATACTACTATTAAACGTATTTGCTTTGTTTTTAAACAAATCTAACAATATTTGACGGTCAAAATTAGGCAGAAGGTTTGACATCCCCATTTTCACGACCAGATGAGATTGATTTTGTTTATGCTTGTTTGAAAATCAGAGTAATATTTTACATAAAAATGTTGTGAATTTGTTCCCAAAATAAAAATATGATAAAGATTTATCAAAGCATTTCCGTAGAAATGTATTTCATTAAAAAGACTCGGGGTGTCATGTTCAATACAGATCAAAAGCATAAACAGTACAATATAAACCTTACTACATTATTTCATATCTAGAAGCCTATATATTCGTAATCACTCATCCAAAACATCACATCTATGCTCGAGCGCCACTACCTGTAATACATGAAACTGAGTGGGTCAGGCTTAGGAGCCTGGTGAGCACATAGGGTTTTCAACCACAATAAATAAGCTTATTAATTTCATCAACCAACAATAACCCGATTACCCGTTCCCGTTATCCTCACATTATGTACCTAAAACACTTGTCATAAGGGACCTAGACTAAGGATCAACATCGGGATGGACACTAATGCTACGAAGATTCCTCAGAAATAAATATCCTTAAGGCAACCATGTGGGGGATGGAGTACACCGGTGAACACATCGTTCACAAACAACTACAGGTTGCGAGCTTGCTAGCGTTCCACTGGACTGTCTAGAAGAGTCTATGGTCGTCATCCATACTCCACTAGATGATAGAATCAACAACAACAACATCTAGGCCTCTCATCATTTTATCACACATCATCTATTACATCTACCCATGTTTTACCCCAACATTTGTGTAGATATAAAATACATATACAGTTTAAATCATATAAAACTTGTATAAAATCGTTCATCCAACATAGATAGTAAGTATACAGATAATATGCAAACATAGCACGTAGTTTATATAAAATAGTTCATATCTATGTGTAAGATGAAAGGGACCATACACTCACCTGTTAAGGTGGTGATTCCGAACTTAGACAGTGCTTCGTTACTCTTGAAACAATTTCCTTCGGCAAAACCTAGTATCGATACCACTAGGGTTTAGTCTAATATTCGACGACACTAATTAGTAGGCTAGTTATTATTACTATTATATAAGCGTTAAACAATACTTATATAACCCATAATAATAGCCAAAGTACCTATTATAAGTTCCTAATAACGTTACTATAATTAAATAAAAGCTATATTAAAAATAGCGTAGACGTAGCTCACTTACAACAGGTTTTATACAAAAACCGGACTTCGCTTGGAGCAGCGTTTCTGAACCGAAAGATCGTTTTTCTCGAGATTTCGGGAGCCTCGAGGCTTCCTTTGGGTGCCACGGAGTTTACCTAGGCTTAGGGGAGGGTTAGGGAAGCTAGAGAGAGAAAGAAACTAGAGAGAGAAGTGGAAATGGGTGAAGAATAAGGCTGCTCTCAGTTCCCTTTAATAGGCTGAGAGGCCTCGCTACGCGGGGCGTAGAACCGAAGTACGCAACGCGTACATCCGAAGCCATACCTACGTGTCGACGAACTATTGGGGCGACGTGGGCGAATCTGGATCGAGGACGGGCTCGCGTACGCGGCGCGTTCCAAGCTCGGACGCTAGGCGTATGCGAGGGCTACGTGTCGCAATCCAAAGGGAGTTCTTTGATCAGCATCGGACGGCTGGGACTCGGTCACGCCATGATCATCACATCAGGCTTTGCAAATCCGAGTACCAACTTCAAAAATTCGTATCTTTCGCATACAAGCTCCATTTTCGACGTTCTTTATATCCGCGCGTAGGCGGGAACGTACTCTACAACTTTCGTTTAGACTCCCTCGCTAATTTTGACTTTATTTTAAAATTTATACTTTTAATAGGCCAGGACATGTTTGGTCTGTTAAAAATCCATAACTTCTTCATCCGACGTCCGTTTTCGTCTGTCTTTTTATTATTACGCTACTATTAACGAGATCTTCGATTTTCGTTTAGGTTATGTCGGCTAAATACCGCTCGTTCTAATATTCGAACTCCAGGCTGTGTAATGCCGATCCGAAACTTAGAAAAATCATAACTTCCTCATACGAAGTCAGATTTGGGTGTTCTTTTTATAGACGCTCTCGGTTCAACGTATTCTACAAAATTCGTTTAGATCACTAAGTCTGAAAATTGCTCTATCGGAAATTCACTATTTATGCTTCCCGGTGTCGTGCTAGTTCCGTCGCAAAATTTCGACGGGTCATAACTTTTTCGTCATAACTTGGATTTCGGTGTTTTTTATATCACTGGAATCCTTGTTTCGATCACTACAACTTTATGTAAAGATATCGGACTTATCTCACACTTTAATTTTGACGCTTATTTTTATTTTTTTATTTATTATACATTTATAAATAAGTAATAAGCACATAAATGCACATAATCCAAATAATACTCAAATATTTCATCTTTATTACTTAAAAAAAAGTTACAATAGTTGAACTAGACTATTACATCATCTACTACTATTTAGTCCCGAAACACGGGCGTTACAAAAGTAGTAAACCTAAATTATTAAATTTTGCTATAACATACGTGTTAATTCCATTAATTAACTACTAAAACCCTCCAATATAGCGAAACTCATATTTTGACTGAAAAATAAGAAAAATTCTCCTTAAACTTAGATTTCCGATTGTTTTTCTTAAAAAGAAGGAAAAAAAGTTATATGACCAACAAAAATGTCATATATGATTGTCATCTACCCATTAGGTGGAGCAATAACGTCATTCTGCGGAGCCCTCATAAAGTCATCTCCGCGGAGGACTTAATGAACATTTAATCCCTAAAGCTACCACTCCGCAACCGCCACGGAGGGAGTTTTGTGGACCTATTTTTCTCTACATTATTTATGAAAACGGCATTCTGTGTAGCTAACTATCAATCCGCAGAGCCCGTAAAGGACCCTCCACGGAATTCATATCTATTGTTGGAAAAATGTTTTTTTTTCACTAAAATTTAAAATTCTCTCCAAAAAAAAATGCCTATTGCTGGCAAAATCCCTATATTTGATGGATCAGAGAAGTGACAAGAATTCTAGGCAATTACAGAATTTGTTCGTATATAAAACAACTGACACTCTTGTAACTCTACACACTCAAGTTTAAGAACCCTGACGTTGTAAGACCCGTGACATGCATGTTAACATGTTATCATGAGTCGTGAGAATAAAATTTAGTCTCATTAATCAAAAATCAAAAATACCTTTCATCAAAGTTAAATATATATAAAATCCCAATGACATACGAATCAAATCAACTTTCGAGTATTACTCATATATCAAAAATATAATTGATAAAAAATTATATATAAAAATCACAGTACATTTAAACTGAATACGGATCAAACACAGGAGTTTGTGTTTTTGACAGAAAAAATCTATGAAATTATGTTGCGTTTATATTAATTATGACATCACTATCTTACTTTTTTGATCTTGAAACTCTTCTAATCAAGAACAACAAGCAAAGGACACGATAGAACACGAAGAACCCAATCAATACGTATATGTTAGTCCATCTCTGATTTTCATGGAGTCCTCTTTTCTGCATCACATCGGCCCCTGTCACCATGCACGTCTGGTTTTTCTCATCGTACCATATCAAACACCTGCTGATCAAACATGAATACTCATTGATCAACAGAGCATCCAGAGCATACTTGTACATTGAGAAGTAATGCATGAACACCCAGTACTTTGGCATGCTTTCTTTCGATATAAAGTAGCCGGAAAAGAGGAAGAATCCGGCCAGAAGTATCGTCACGAGAGAGGTTCCGGTGATGTAGTTTGGTGCGACGGAGCTCAGGAACAGGATGAATGAATTCGCCATTAAAACGATGACCCAGATCACTAAAACGAAGTATCCGAATGCTTGCCATGTTTGACAAAGACCCACTAAGAAATACACTGACACAGAGTAGACGATCGCAATGACGAGCAAGTATGGGAAGAAAACGAGGGTGTTTGCTATGAGGTATGATGATAGCCTGTAAACGCCACTTGAAGTTTCTCGGAGCAGAATCGGCCTCTCATTGATGAAGATCGGGAGTGTTTCGGTTGTAGAAGAGAGGAGGAATGTTAAAGTGAAGGCAAAAAGACCAAACCTTTTCTCGATTCCAGTTTTATCGAATCCGATATTGATGTAAATTGTTCCTAACACGACACCCACAACTAATGCCTGCAATGTGTTCGTTAAAAGTAACTGTTTTGTTCTGTAGATGATTTTCCAAAATCTGCTGTATAGAGCGATGATCTCTTGAACCCTCGAGCTACGATATCGGACCTCGTCGCTGTATTTGGTTCTGGTTCCAACAGGATCAATGGGGGAAGGTGGTGCAATAATGGGTTTGGTTATTTGGAGCTGTGTTAGTATTTCCATGGCGTATTCGAGTGAATTGAGCTGTGGAGGAACTGTAAAACCATTTGATAGGAGGTAGTCTTGAAGAGAAGGTAGAGTTCCATGATGAACAACTTTCCCCTTGGATAACAACAAAATTCTGTCAATGGTGGAAAGGATTTTGAAGCTCGGTTGATGTATCGATAAGATCACAGTTCGGCGACGGGAAATCGCGATTGATCTGAGAGTCTGCATGACATTATAAGCCGAACTGCTGTCGAGACCGGAGGTGGGTTCATCAAGAAGTAAAACTCCGGGATCATGGAGTAAGCTCAGGCCTATAGAAACACGCCTCCTCTCGCCACCGGATAAATTGTGCCCTAATCGTGTATGAGCTAAATGTGTAAGCCGGAGCTCAAGTAGCAGAGAGGTCACCACGTCTGATATTTGTGTGGCTTTCGGTTGCAGTAGGCCGGCGGCGAAAGCGAAAGTCTCAGAGACAGTGAGCACCGGTAAACTGGAGTCGTGTTGAGGGACATATGCGGAGAGTTTCCGGTAAGACGAAGGGGTGAGTGGGGAGGAGTTGAGGAGGAGTGTGCCGGCGGTGGGTGCAGTCCGGGCGGCTAAAATGTCGAGGAGAGTGGATTTTCCGGCGCCACTAGGGCCAACGATGGCGAGGATTTGGGAGGGGTAAGCGGTGAGGGAGATGTCATCGAGGATGGAAGTTGGTGATAGGGTGGTGGTGCATGGGTTGATGAAGTATAAAAAAGGTGTAATTGCGGCGGCTGTGGTGATGGATTTAGTGTAGGATATTGATGTAGTTTTTAAAGTGTAGGTTTTAATGGGTGGCGCGGTTGTTGTGGTTGTTGATGGTGGTGGTGGTGGTTCTCCCATGGTGGCTCCGGTGTGTTTGAGCGATAATAATGGAGAGAAAGATTAGAGAAGAGAAGGTGGGTTGAGTTATTAAGAAGTATCACCATGGATATGGATTTAGGGGGTGGGTATAATGGGAAATGTCGGGATTCTAAAATAAAAATTGGAACTTTTGTTTGAATTTAGATTAAAAAAAAAGAAAAGTAACGGAGTAGTGGCCCGTGATATTGACAAAACAAAAAAAAGAGAAGGTATGTTTAGGTGGGGTGTATGGACAAAATGTGATCACATGAGTCTTAATCCAAGAAGAATCCGTGACCAAAAATCCTTCATTCAGACATTCTTGCAAAAATACAAACCCCTCCGTAATTTTATCATCCTCTTTTCTGTTTGACCTTTTTCTAACTGCCGAATACTACACTCATAACTCATAACCCATATTAATCTCTGTATAATACTATTTTTTTTTTTTTTTTTTGATGGATTACATACAGAACTAATTCTTATACTTTTTTATACAGAGATTATATATTTTATTTTTATGATTATCTGTAATATTAATGTTTAATCACTTGTATACTTGTTTGTTTCAATTTTTTTACCGTCGCAAAAACTTATGTCTCGGACGGTAGACATCATGAATACATAGAAGCTTTATTTTTTATTAATTAATCGAAGTTCAAGTGCTTGATTATCTGATTAAATTTATATTATTATATATGCCTTTAAGTTTATTATTACATATATTTAAATCAAAATACAATTATTTATCTGTTAAAAACTAATATGAGAATTGCACAAAATGACACCAATGACACAAAAACAGAAACCTTATGTTTATCTATGTGTTTGAATATCATATTATTAACCGATTGGCGAATGATTATAGGCTTGTATAGAGCTTTATTAAGGGGTGCCCACATGCCAACAGTCTATACTTGACGACGGACTTCAAGTGGCTTCCTGACAGTCCGTGACTTAATTATGTGAACCACTTGTTACTCTAATATTATTTTATTATTAGGCAGATGGGGCACCGAGGTACCGCGGTACAGTCGTACCGATAAGACACGGGCTCGCAAAGGTGAGGGTTCGGCCTCATTGTGGGCTACCCCAATTCCCAACCCACAAGCATGCATATAGCACTCTCAACTATTTCAAAGCCAAATCAACTTATCACATTTTCTCTAATTTCATTTCTATGGTCTCTTCAATTCCATTCCAACCTTTTTTTCTTTTTAAACGTAATAGATTCTAGATGTAGGAAATCCAAAAAACGAACTTAGAATTCATGGTTGGGAGGTTTAGAATTCGTTTGAGGTGGGATGTCCAGTGTAGTGCTTGATCGGAAGCGGAAAGTAGCATGTAATCCATGGGTAGGAGGGATGGATTCTCTCCACTCTAACCATCCAAATTAACATGCAAACGGTCGTCTTTCTCTTCCCTACCATCTCACACATATTGGTAGTAATATAGATGCATAAAGTAAAAGTTGAAAATAAATGGGAGAAGTGGACATCATTAGTGAAGACATCAAGACAACCTGCTTCAGGTTCTAATTTTGCGGTACTAAAGCAATCGACTCCGTCCACCCTTAAAACGACATTTATATCCACTTATTATGGCCAACTTCAATGTGCTTTGAAACAGCATCATATTTAAAATAACAAATTAAATATATTATATTGGAATAAACAATTAATATTAAAATATAATAATGATGGATTTAAAGTATTAACTAAAAATGAAAAAGAAAAATTAAGAGGTTTCAAATGAATGTGAAACATAACATTTCTTATAGTAAAAAATAAACGTCATTTTTTATAACAAATATTTTTATAATAAAAATAAATTCTTTCTAATTTATCTCAAAACAAAATATCGAATTCAACCAATTTGTAATTATCAACAGAATACTAAATAACTTTACGAAAACTAATATAATATTCTCAAACCCACAACTATGACTTCAATCAATATTTGCCTATCAAAGTGTACGGTTGCATTTTTTTTTTCTTTTCTATTTAATAATTTTAGGGGTTTCCAATGTATTAGGGAAAGTTCCCGTTTCCAAGTTCAATTTAAGGAGAGAAAAGAAAAGAAATTGGTGGAAGTAAGAGGAAAGTAGGAGGCAAGTGGAAGGAAATGGATGAATCACTTTCCCTCTTAACTTTCCTTCTGATTTGGAAGGATTTTGAGAGAAAGAACAAAAAATTTAATTTTCATTCCATTTCTCTCCAACTCGGGAACACAAAAGATAAATTTCTTTTCCTTTCTCTTCTCTTCTTTTCTCTCCTTACTTTCTTTTCTCTTCTCTTCTTTTCTTTGCTACAACTTGGGAACGAGTAAGAACAAGCTACAAGAAACACAAATTGATTTCTATTATTTTAATTTTGAATGAAACCATAAGATACTAATTATTTCGACTTTCATCATATTTGGTCGATTAAATTTATAAAAAAAAATGATAGCGTTTTTGGTATTTTAATCCAACTCTTTCTAATTCAATTCCAACCCTTTTTCTTTTTAATTTTAAATAGATTCTAGACGTGACAAATCTATCCAATAACACGGCTTCTACCTAAAAAAGAAATTGACAATGCCAAATCGGTTCACAAGACTAGCCAATGTCAATTCCCAAAATCTCAATCCCAAATTATTCCTAATACCCACAATATAACATCAACATCAACAAATTATGATGCAACAATTTTATAACCAATTCGGACTATCTTAAGACGTCCCCCAATTATAATTCGTTCCAACAAAATTAAAATCCATATTCTATCCCCAACACTCCTATGTCATATTACGTTAACGACACATCGCATTTCCGTGAGCACAAAAACAACAAATCATATGATGAAGCACAACTCATCCCTCAAATCCCAAACGACGAACCAAGCAAGGAAACCTAACCATCAAACACAAACCTAACCCTTAAGAAATTATTCCAAACGGCTAGAACGACGACTATGGACCAAAAGAGAAGAAGTGATGTCTACCAAGATAGTGAACATCATCAAAGAGCATACTCATTTTGGCAACGAGCTATGGAGCACTTCAATACGCAACGTCATGGTTCCAATCGTAATGGGGATCAATTGAACTCAAAATGTAAGGATTTGCATGCGGAAGTTAACAAGTTCAAGCAATGAAACATAACCCCAACTCACCCCTCAAACACAAACTAAACCCTCAAGAAATTATATGAAACGGCTAAATAGATGAACACAGACTGAAAGAGAAGAAGTGAAATTGACCAAGACATTTATAAGTATTTCGGTAGAGGAAGAAATTGAAAGTGATCAACGAACAAACTCATTTTGACAGTAAATTCTGGAGCACTTCAATATGCAACTTCGTGGTTCGAATGTGGTACGAATGTGGTAGGGATCAATTGAACTCCAAATTGAAGTATTTGCATGTGGAAGTTAATAAGCTCAATTGCATCTACAACAACAAGTCTAACATCCATGACAGTGGCAGATCAGACGTCAATGTTTTAAATTTGACAAAGTAAGTATCGTAAACTCTTCCGATTGAAAGCATTTTTGCATTCGGTGGCATCGAATATTTTAAACTACAAACAAAATAGCTAACATTTGACGTAATGGGTGAATCCCCATACTTGAAAAAAAATTTAAAAAAATTACTAAAAAAAAAAATGAAAACATCATACTACAACACTTGCACAACCACTTTGGATGCCCAATTTTCAACTCACTTAGGCCGGTGAGTTTGATGTTGCAAAGTTTCCGGTTGAAGAACCACGAATACACTTGCAACCAGGGTGTATCTACCAAGCGCAAAGGTAGGTCCTAGGATCTATCTAAAATTTCAATTATATATATATATATATATATATATATATATATATATATATATATATATATATATATATATATATTTGTGTGTGTTTGTGTGTGTGAAATTAGGAACTACCTTAGAATAAATAAAAGAGCTACTTAGAGTTTGTTTTAAAAAAAGAATTAAAAACCATTTTAAAATGAGAAAAAAAAAAAATAAGGTGTTAAAGGGAAATTTATTATTTAATTATGGGATTGAAAACAAAAAGTTAACGTTTCTTAACCGCTGCTCTTAAAATATCAATAAATAAATAAATTGATCTAATAAAAAGAAGCTCACATGCCAAAGACTCACACTCTCTGTTAAGGGTGTGTATGACGCGGTTTGGTTCGGTTATTGGTCAAAACCGAACAATAACCATTACAATTGGTTAATGTATTTCAATAATCATTGGGTAACGGTTAATATTGGTTTTGTATAACAGTTTTAATCGATTGATGATTATGTTTAACGATTAATATCAGTTAAACCATAATTGTCCAAAATGAAATAAAAATAAAGATATTTTTCTATAAAAATTGGAGAACATAAATCTACTATTATAAAAAATGAATGATTGTGTATATATAACTATATTAATAGAAGATTACTTATCATATCTACTTCCAAGTAATTTTCCTTTAAAATTTCAGTTCTCAATATATTACATACATTATACTTCTTACGTCCTATATTTATTACCCACTTTTGATTTTTGGAGTATTTATTATTTAACTTTGACCTTAAATATTTTTATTTATATTATAAATTACTTGATGAAAATTATAACAATGAAAAGACATTTAAAACACAATCCATTCATATATTATGCCTCAAGTATTACATCAAAAATAAAAATATTTAAGCTCAAAGTTGAATAATAAATATAGGATGGATGAGCATTTAATATTATATTATATTAAAAATATTTATTAATATTATTGGTTCGGTTCGGTTAATATTGTTTCGGTTTTGGATGAAAACCATAACCAAACCATATGTATTCGGTCAATCAAAATTAGAAATCATACCATATCTTTTAGTAATGGTTTGGTAAAAATGGTTCGGTTATATTGGTTAATTTGGTTATAGTTCGGTTTTTCGGTTAATATGCTCACTCATACTCTCCGCTCATCGCTTTATCAATGGACTAATAATCAACGAGTTTTTCG